AAAAAAAAAAAAAGTTCTCAAGCCACAAAACCAGAAAGTAGAGTCAGTGGCAAAAACTAAAGAAATTTATCTGACATCTTTCTTAATGTCAAGGAGGGGAGTGATGTAAATTAAAGGAGCTAAATTCTAATGTATATATACATATTTAGTATATAATTTATATACTAAATATAGTATAGTGTACTATAGTGTGCCAGACTAACTTTTTGCCCACGCTGGCTGTAGTATATGAAAACAAGTCTCTTAAGTTGAGAGCAAAATAAATCTGTTTATTGCAGAGTTAGGATAGTACTTACACACTCAGTGTGGGAATCTCTGATCAGTACTTCACACACAAGCCTGTTGCAGGCCTGTAATAAACCCCTCACTCTGACACTTTGCTAGTTTCAAGGTTTGCAGGCTTCAAAGAAACAGGATGCCTTTGCTGTTCTCAGTGTGCAGTATAAGTTCTTCCATGCTTCCCAGGAATTTTCTGTAGAGTCAGGCTTTCCTGTTTCCTTACGAATGGCGACAATTTTTAGCCCACTTCTCAGGCTTAATCAAGCTAATGCCAATGATATAAAGATACATGAAGCCAGCTCTACATGCAAATATATATGTAATGAAATGTGTACAACACATTTGTGCATTTTTGCAGATCTGCTGCTGCTATTTTTCCCTCAGAGCTGAGTCCTGCATGAGCATTTTATGCACATTTTAAACAGAAAATATAACTTGCAGAAATATTAAAATTTGGTGGCATTCTTTACAGGGAAACACATCTATTTTAAGCCTCACTTCAGTGATTTGGTTTCAGAAATCATTAATTGAAACCATGCAGAAATAAACTGGAGCTTTAACTAGCTATTAGGTGAAAATTCTGAAGGAAGGAACTTCTGATATAGAGCTGATTCTTAGAAATGCATATTTCAAATAGGGAGCTTTCACACAATAATATTCTGTAAGAATAAAATAAATTAAATTATTTACACAGTGCCTGGAGTGCATTGCTGGCTAGCCCTACCCAGACTGCACCAGGTGTGGCCTCCCTCAGGCTATGAGTAGCCTTAAGTGGAGGTGAAGCAGGGCTGCTCAGCTCAGTGGCAGCAAGTCTGCTTTCCAAGGCATGCTGCGATATGCACTGAGGGTCAGGGTAAAGCCCAAGGAAGGGTCGTTTGTATAGGTTTCCAAAGAAGCTTAATCTACAGAAGGGTCAAGGAGCAAATGACAAGTAAATATGGTGTACAGCAACTTATATACAGGGGAGAATCAAGGGGCAGGTACAAATCATAAACCAATAGGGGAGACTTAGGGGAGGAGTACAAGGCAGGGTTCACAATGCATGGACCTTTGGGGAAGCATGGGGAAAGGGAAGAGTTTACATAATCCAATGGGGTGTCAAACCTTGGGAGATTGGCAGGGAAGGTTCGGGAACAAAGGGCTGGGTTTACAAGATTGATAGGGAAGGTACTGGAAAAAAGGGTTGAGATACAATAATTGTATAGGGGAGGAGGCTACAACTTGGAATACACCAACAAAGCGGGGAGAAAACAGAACAAACCATGTATATAAAGAACTTCAAACTTACTGAAAGAAAACACGTCACAACAAATGACAACACAGTTGTAGATTTACTGCTGATGCTGTGTGAATAATGCATATGTCAATGCACCCATTCCACTTATTTGCTTACTTTTAGATTAGCTATTAATAATGATTAAATAGAATTTTATTGAACAAAAACAATTCGGAGAAAGTAATACCAAAGTATTATGTCATTGATTAATCGCTTGGTAGTTCCTAGAATATTGTATGTGTCAAATATCCAGTATCTGTGCTGAAAGTAAATCATGATCGCCTTTATTGCCTCAGGAATCTGCCTCTGGAAATAGACTACATAAGCAATTCCTGGGAATAGAAGGTTGTCTACTTTATACCCTTCAGAAATGGCTTGTTTCAATGGCAAGCTTGCCTAAAGAGCCATAAACAAACAAACAAAAAGAGCATATATTCAAATACATAAGTGGAATATATACTCATAACAAATGTAACTGTATGGAAAAGCCAGTTTGATCAAGGTTTCTGCATCAAGCAGTACCAGCACGATACTGGCACTTGCTTTCAGCCTGACTTTTGGCAATAATTTCAGAAACAGAGAAAAATTAATATTCTTATTGTTTGTGGTCAGTCACATAGGGGAACAGAAGAAAACAAAGTGTGTTATTAACCACCCCTGTAACTTGCAGCAATCGAAAGCAACAGCATTTAAATGTGCAGAAAAGGGAATACAACAAATGTGAAGAATTCTTGCATTGATGACAGAGCTACCTGAAGTATGATTGCGAAGTGTTTGTTTTTAGTAAACACTTGCAGGCCTTAGACTTACAAACAAGTATATAATTTTCCACTTCAGTGTCAGGCTTGACCGGCTTTCTTACAAAGAATAATATGAGTGGGTGTTGCAAGGGTGTTGGAAACTGAAAAATAGAAATTTCTGCAGGTGCTGAACAGTTCAATCTACAGCCTTAG